TGACACTAGAAAACATTCTTCATGAAACGACCTATGCTGCTTTGAAAGACACACTGGACCAGATGGACTTAACAGATACATTTAGAACATGCCATCCTAAAACATCACATATACATACTTTTCAAGTGCACATGGGACACTCTCTAGAATAGATGACGTATTAGGTCACAAATCAGGCCTTAGCAAATACACAAAGACTGAAATCATACCATGCACCTTTTCTGACCAAAATGCTATAAAACTAGAAGCAACCACAAGAAAAAAATTGGGAAGACCACAAATACATGAAGGTTAAATAACATGCTACTAAACAATGAATGTGTCAACGAGGAAATCAAAGAAATTAAAATATATATAAACAATGAAAGTGAAAACACAATGGTCCAAAACCCTTGCAATGCATCAGAAGCAGTTCTAAGAGGGAAGTATGTAGCAACACAAGCCTACCTCAAGAACAAGAAAAATCTTAAACAATCTAACCTTACACCTAAAGGAGTTAAACAAAAACAAAAACAAAAACAAGAAATGAGGCCAAAAGCCAGAAGGAAGGAAATAATAAAGGTCTGAGCAGAAATAAATGATATAGAAATAAAAAAAAAAAACAAAAGAACAGATTAGTAAAAAACAGGCACTGGTTTGTTGAAAAATTAAAAAAAAATTGATAAACCTCTAGCAAGACTTATCAAAAAGAAAATGGACCCAAATAAATAAAATCACAAATGAGAAAGGAGAAATAACAACCAATACAACAGAAATACAATTCATTATAAGAGAATATTATGAAAAACTATATACCAACAAATTGGACAAACTGGAAGAAATGGATAAATTCCTAGATACATATAAACTACCAAAACTGAAACAGGAAGAAATAGAAAACTTGAACCAGCACAGACATTGGGTCACTAATCCAAAAACTTCCAACAAACAAAAGGTTAGGACCACTGTGATCTTTTATGTCTATTAGAAAAAGTTAAAAATTTTGAGGGACATTATAGTAACACAACTCCTTCTTTCCCTTTTACTTAAGTGTTAACAACTCACATCTGCAAAAATAAAAAATTCTAATAGTACTGATGTTAAATCCCATCCCATTTGACTGGTATATCTTAATAAAGCAAATGTGAAAATTTTTACGTCCATTCATACACTGCATGTAACACTAATCGTAAAGATTACTGAACTGCGAAGAAATGTGTTTAACATGTAGCGTCTTTTGAGAGAAGTTTAAAATGAACTTAAATTTAAATATGAATTTTTGTTACAGAAAAACTATCATAAGGTCATTAATAAATATTTTGAACATGAACATAACATTTGGACAAAACTCTGTGAGAAGTGGAACAGAAAATATGAATTCAAGGCAAAGATGACTGACGTAAATTTTCCAGATGTTAAAGAAGAGCTTGCTTATGTACATATATTTCTAAAAATAATGGTACTGACATCAAATTGCGATGTTATTTAGATTCAGTTGGATACACATAGAAGACTGATATAAAGTACTTAACTAAAAAGACAATATTTACAGGGGCTGCTGGGTGGCTCAGTCAGTTGAGCAGCTAACTCTTGATTTCAGCTCAGGTCATGATCTCAGGGTCCTGGGATTGAGCCCTGTACTCAAAAGGAAGTCTGCTTGAATTCTCTCTCTCTCTCTCCCCCGCTCCCTCCATGTGCATGCAGGCACATGCACTCTCTCTCTCTCAAATAAATAAATCTTTTTAAAAAAACCACAATATTGACAGTAACATCTTTTACAACTAATCTCATAACTGCAATTTTTAGATAACTTTGTGTACAAGTAGATACATAATTTAAAGGAATTTTTTTATAAGTGTGAAAGCAAACAGGTGGAAAGATCATTGTACTTGTACAATTCGCCAAGATATAGAATGTGAGGTGATTATCATTCAATGAAGGTTAATAATAAATGTGAAATTCTTCGTGTAGGTTTTAAATGTAATCTTTATATTTTCCGTAAGACTGTATTAGTCAGAGCTCTCCAGAGAAACAGTATCAATAGGATATGTGTGTATATACATATGTATATATATATTGCTTTGTATTATATAAAATTATATATATAAATAACTATATATAAATACAAAAGAGATTTATTATAAGGGATTGGCTAATACTATTATGGAAGCTGACAAGTCCCCAGGTCTGCAGGATGAGTCAGCAAGCTAAAGACCTGGGAAAGCTGACGGTGTAGTTCTCATCCTAAGGTTGGCAGGCTCAAGAATCAGGAAGAACTGATTTTTTTAGTTTCACTCAAAAGGCAGGAAAAAGCTGATGTTCAGATTTGAAAGCAGTCAGTCGGAAGGAATTCGTTCTTAGCTGAGGGAGGGTCAGTCTTTTAGGTCTATTTGTACCTTCAACTGATTTGACGAGGCCCACCCACATTAGGGATGGCAATCTGCTTTACTCTGTTTACCAATTTAAATGTATTTTTAAATGATTTTATTTATTTGAGAGAGAGAGAGAGAGAGCATGAGCAGGGGAGAGGGACAGAAAGAGAGAGGAAGCAGCAGACTCCCCACTGAGTAAGGAGCCTGATGTGGGGCTTGATCCCAGGATAGTGGGATCACGACCTGAGTTGAAAGCAGACGTTTAACTGACTAAGCCACCCAGGTGCCCCTACCAATTTAAATATTAATCTCATCCAGAAACACCCTCACAAGAGTACTTAGAATAATGATTGATCAAATATCTGGGAACCCTGTGGCTCAGTCAAGTGTACACATAAAATTAATGATCACAAGTTCACCCCTTGTCAATTTGGTACCCATACATATTTCCTTAAACTATACTTAAGCTCCAGATGAAGACAATATGTCATAATTCCACACTCTCAGATGTGTCTCCTAATGCTGTCTTAACCTGGGTTCCTTTTCACTGCACTACAGCCTGGAAACTTTGCATGTAGTATGCCAGGGAAGTTATAGGGCTCTCTTTGTATATTCTGTACCTCTCTGGCATCACTGTCCTTTATTATTTGATGCCCAATGTCTTGAAAACTGTTGTTTAATATACTTTGCCCTGTTTCTTAGTTGTTTCAGGGATAAAGAGAAATCTGATCCTCATTAACATATCTTGGTCAAGAGTGCAACTTTTTAAGAGTCTACCTTTTTTACTCTAATTTTATATATTTTTTATTGTATCACAAAATTGTTCCATGAATAAATGTTTGCAGAACCTAACTACTTACATAAATGACTAGACAGTTTAAGAAATCCTGATTTATAACTTCACTCCTTCACATTATCCAACAGAGGACATGTAAAGTACCCTGAGATTTTTAATATTAACTTGTACAAATTCAAGGTACCTAGGAAAGGTGTTAGGGATTAGTTTTCAAATAAAAAGTGTAATTCTCTAAAGCAAAATGTGTTAGTATATCGCCTAGGTTTTAACATCAGTTGCCTAGGTTGCAGGAGGCAAGAAGGAAGAATAAAACACTTAATTCTGAAAACCAAATATAGCTGATTCTTTAACAACACAAGTTTGAACTACACAGTCTGCTTATGTGGATTTTTTCTAATAGTACTGTAAATGTATTTTCTCTTTCTTATGATTTTCTCAATAACACTGTCTTTTCTCTAATTTATTTTATTGTAGGAATACAGTATATAATACCTACAACACACAAAATATGTATTAATAGACTGTTTATGTTGTTAGTAATGCTTTTGGTCAGTATTAGGCTATTAGTAGTTAAGTTTTGGGGGAGTCAAAAGTTATATGTGCATTTTTAACTGTGCAGGGGATCAGTGTTGTTCGAGGGTCAAGGGTTTTCCTGCTTCTGGCCTGGCAAAAATTGCCGATGTGGCTATAAAGATGTTTGATATAAAATCTTAGTCTCAATATTATGGTGGAATGTGCCGCGAAGAGCTTGTACAGCTTCTTTAGGACAATAATCTTGCCTTTTACTATTCCTAGCAAGCACAGTACTGTCCAGAAATTGATGAGAATGATTAAGAAGACCAGGGAAAAAGAACAAAAGAACAAAAACATCAAGAAAATACTACAAAAGCCAAATACCAAAAATAAGAACAAAGGAAAAACAGACTCTGCAACCAGAAGAAAATCATTTGGAAAATTATACAAAGATTTCTCCTTTGGACTTTATGACAGTATTATTTAATAAGCAAAATCTGACCCATATGAGAGAATCATGTGAGTTTTACCTCAGTATTAGATAACTTTTTTATAGTGGCCATAGAAATTTGTTGGTGTCTGTTGATAGCTATGGTATATTAATACTCACTATGCTACAAATTCTTTATAAATGACTACGTTGTCTGTTATTTGCAGACCGTGCACTGAAATGAAAACAGGCTATAGGAGAAAATAACTTTAGATTCTATTTCAAATAATGACTTCTATTCAAATAATGGCTTAAGTTGGATTCCTGTTCTGGACAAAGAAATTAAAAATTCTAAATGTGAGAATTGTCCTCTCTAAGGTGTAATGGGTGTTTTGGCTTTAAAAAGATAGAGTATATTGATCACATATTTTATTATTATTGCTTGTTACTCGGAAAAGAATAATTTCTGGCAGTCTCAAAGCAAAATAAGATTAGTAAATGAGTACTTTTAATTTCTGTATCTTTCTTCTAATTTATGTCTTTAGGATACTGGTAATATCAGATAATATGCTATTGTTTTCCTTTACTTAACTTTTTACAGAGTTATCTTATTATGACTATAGTAATAACTTTTTTTATTGTCAGTTTTTAGTAGCTTATTAATACTGTTCCCAATGCCAATATCAATTTAAAGTTAAAAAAACTGTCTAAGAACACTATTTTAAAAAGTGAAACTACATGTTCAAATAAATTTGATACTTTAAGAGAAAAAATATATGTATGGTTTCATTAATGAATTTAAATATGGTTTTTAGATATACAAACATATATCTTGTTTACATATACCTATATAAGCAATATTTTTTCATGAAATGTTCAAAATGCAATACCGAATTAGTATATCCTATACCTGTAAAATATCAGCAGGGTCTTCTTTTGCAGACGCAACCAACAAAGTATGCCCATTGATGATTCCTTCTGCCAGGAAATACTTGAAGAGCAAAGAAGAATAAATATTATATTTATCCTCTTCTGTAAAAATGAAAAAAAAAATTATAGTCAGAATCCTACCATATGCCAAGCACACTCAGATGTTTTAACAATTTTTCTCCTTAAAACAAGTAAATGAAATGGGGCAATAATTGTCTTCCTAAAAAGTACGGTTAGATAGGCTAAGACACTTACCTAGATAGTCAATGGGAAGTAAGTACTTTTAAGATAGTCTAATTTCAAAATTGTTCTCCATCCTCTACACCACCTCTGATATCCACAAAATTTAGAGGGTTACGTATGATTATGGCAAAGAAATCACAGAGTTTTTTTTTTCTAAGATTTTTTTCAGGCATTGCATCTCTAAAATGCCAATTCTTACCTACCAACTAGTTTGTAAACTCACATTTCATTTCTTACATGTCACAATAATTAAGTACTTCATTGTATGTAGCCTGAAAATTAATATTTATAAAATTTGTAAAAATAGTATTACTTCTTCAAAAGCAATTTAAAATTGAAGACTTTAATCTGAGAGTTCTTAAATTTGTACTAAATGTTTTCCTAGGAAAAAGTTCTTTTACCTTTTATTATTCCTTCATCCTCCCTTCTTTCTGAATTTTTATGAAAAAGTCATATACCTAAGGTTTCTTTGACAAAATGTGTTAATATTTTTGAGATTTTGTGATATAACAACTCAAGGATATCTTTGTTTCCTTAATATTATTGATAAGATACATGTCTACACTTTTATATCAGCTTTTTTTAATACTTTGAGCACAACACAGAGACAAAGGTAGATTTATTGAATTATTTAAAAAAGAGAAACCATTATTAATTTATTCAACAAATATTAATTGAATTCCTATAATAGGTCAGGCAATGTTAATATATGTAAAAACCACACTATTAAAAAATATTCCTAAGAAAGTTTGAACTTGTGGTAATGTTAGCACTGTGCACAAAGCCCTTTGGAGCTTTAAGTACAAAACCTGAATAAAATACCATTAAAAAATAAATATTTAAAGGCACTGCAAAACAACGAAAAGCAGACAGCAACCACAGCAGTTTCCTTTTGAAAGACTGTGATCATGACATGCAAGAATTTCAAGTTTCTGGCTTTTTTTTTTTGCCTAAAATGGGGTTCTTAAGCTCCCTTAGCTCTGACAGCTTTAAATCATATCCTTTCTAGCTTGAGGTGGCAGAATGTAGATAGAGTTCAGTGTTGTCAAAATAGCTGAAAGTTTAGGGGAAAAATCCTTGAAGTAAGAGAGCTCTGCAAAGTTTATCAAATGTGCCCAAATCCATGGCTGGCCACTAAGCTATCATTGCACGAATGGGAGAAAAAACAGTAAATAGGTAAGAGAGAACAGGTTAAGTTGAAAGACAACTAAATCATGTGAGATTTAAAAATTTGATGCTCCTTTGAAGTCATGCATTTCCCAATGAGCAGAATCTTATAATAAAGAAAGCTGAAGTCTTATTGACTTGAAGTGGCAGAGGACAAAAGTCAGGGCTGAGAACCCCAGAAAGTGTGAGTCCCCAAATGTGAGTATAAATTCTGGATAAATATTTGGTTCTCTTCTAAGCTTCTGACTGTAAGGGACAGCCCTGTGTGACCAGGTTAAAAAAGCAAGACCTAAAAGCTAGAAAATTGAGCAGAGATACAGAAATACTATCTGCTGCACAGTATATTGAAGTGAGAGTTCATTTAAGATCAGGCAAGTTAACTGTCTATTAAAACAAAAAACCTGAAATCCTTGGGACAAGAGAATGGAATTCAGAACATTAAAATGCATTTTTTACAATGTAAAGATTTCAACCAAAAATCAGTGAATATGATCCACACTAGGGAAAACACAACCTACAGAAACTGACTCAAAGTAAAATTTATTCAAAGTATTAAAGGAGGGGCACCTGGCTGGTTCAATCAGTAGAGCATGTGATGCTTGATCTGAGAGTCATGAGTTCAAGCCCCATGTTGGGTGTGGAGCCTACTTAAAAAAAAAAAAAAAAGAACAAAGTATTAAAGGACAATATATCAATAAGTGAACAGAAAAGGAATATCAACAGAGAATGAGAAACTATAAAAATGAACCAGATAAAAAATTTAGAGTTTAAAATTATTATTCCTTATATGAAAAATTGCTTTGGTGATCTCATGAGTAGATTGGAGATGAAGAAAGGAAAAAATAATTGGTATACCTGAAGGGAGATCAACAGAAATTATGAAATCTGAAGAATAGAGGAAAAAAAAATTAAGAAAGTTGAACAGAACGTCAGAGACACAGAACAATATAGAGCAGTCCAAAACACGTTTAAATGGAGTCCTAGATATTGGGAGATAATAAGAAACAGAAACAGTACTTCAAGAAGTGATGGCTAAAAACTTCCTAAATTTGATGAAATATTCAATTACAGATCTAAGAAGCATAGGAAGCTTAAATGCAAAAAACCCAAATCTAAGTACCTCATAGTTAAATCTTGGAAGCAGCAGGGAGAAATGGCATGTGACATACATACAGTGGCACAATGATAAAATCAACAAGTGATTTCTCATCAGAAACAATAAAAGCTAGAGGATATGATAATTATATATTCAAGAGTTGAAAAAGAAACAACTTAATCAAAAATTATAAATGTGTAAACATATTTAAGAATTGAGGTGAAATACTATTTTCATATAGGACAGCAGACCTGTACTATAGGACACTAAAAGCTAAAGGAAAATTATACAACATGGTAACCTGCACTTACAGGAAGGAATAAAGAATACAAATGACAGCAAATATGTGTGAAATTATAACACTCTGTGATCATATGTATACATACTTATGTGCATGGATGTGTGTATATAGATGTATATATATGTGTATGTGTGTGGATAAATTAGGTTCTTAGAATTTCTTTAAAACTATCTGTTTAAAGCAAAACTGACAAAACTAAGCAAAGAAAGACATAAATTCAACTCGGAGATTTTATCATACATTTCTTAGTAATTGTCAGAACTAAGGAGTAAAATCATCAAGAAGATAGAAAATCTGAACAAATTCATAGACCACCTTAGATAATATACAGTTCCAGAATATATATTTAGTGCATCTAGAATGTACACCAAGATAAACCATATGCTATTCCAAAAAACAAGTCCCAATATATTTCAAAATATTAAAATCTTACTTTAGAAACTGAAATTTTTTAAAAATTCCATTTATGATTAATTCCAAAAGCATGAAGTATTTTGGAGAAATTTGACAATACATGTGCATGAATTAGCTCCACTCTACTGAAAAGTAGAAAATATTCTGAGAGTAAGTAAGTAAGGAAAACCTAAATAAACAGAGAAGTATATCAGGTTCAGGGAATACAATGTTCAGGGAATACAAGACTCAAATCTTTCCAAATTGATCTATAGATTTAATGGAATTCCAATGTAAGCACCATAAGATTTTTGGAGAAATTGATAAGCTAATTCTGAAATTTACACAGAAATCCAAAGGTCCTAGAATAGCCAAACAAATTTGAAAGTGAAAATCTACTTCAAGACTTAGAATAAAGCTACAACAATCAAGGCAATGTGGAATTAGCTAAAGGAGAGAAAAATATAGATCAGCATAAAAGAATAGAGTCCAGAAATCAACTCACATAAATGATTTATTTATTTATTTATTTATTTATTTATTTATTTAATTGACAGAGAGAGACAGAGAGAGAGGGAACACAAGCAGGGGGAGTGGGAGAGGGAGAAGCAGGCTTCCCGCCGAGCAGGGAGCCCGATGCAGGGCTTGATCCCAGGACCCTGGGACCATGACTGGAGCTGAAGGCAGTTGCTTAACCAACTGAGCCACCCAGGCACCCCTCACATAAATGATTTTTTATAAAGACGGAGAAATAATTGTTTTTTCAAATTGTCCCAGAACAATTGGATACCCAGATTCAAAAAAAAAAACAACAAAAACCTCAGTCTTATCCCATACTACAAATTAAAAAAAAAACCCACAAAATTTCTATCTTACTTCATACTAATACTCAAATATTATCTTGAAATGGATCAGAAAACTAAATACAAAAGCTGAAACAATAAACTATTAGAAGGAAACATAGGGACTAAGTTTGCTACCTTGGAGTAGACAAAGATTTCTCAGGGTATGGAAGCATGAACCACAATAGAAAAAAAAAAGGATAGCAAGCTACAGAAAGAAAATATTTTCAATACATAGATCTGATTGAGAACTGGTATCCAATATATATACTAAAAACTTTTAATTCAATAAGACAAACAACCCAGTATAAAAATGAACGAAAGGTTTTAATACATCCTTCACAAAAGACCTGTGAATGTCCAATTAATGTATAAAAAGATGTTTAACAGTATTAAACACCAAAAAAAGCAAATTAAAAACACTGTGAGAAACCACTACATTCCTACTAGAAAAGGTAAAATAAAAACACGATACCAAGTATTGACAAAGGTATGGAACAAATAAAATGCTCCTACGTTGCTAGTGGCACTGCAAAGTGGTACAGCTACTTTAGAAAATAGGCAGTTTCTGATAAAGTTAAATTTACACTTACAGGAACCAGCAATTCTCCTCCTGCATATTTACCCATGAGACATGAAAACACATGTCCGTACATAGTTGTATACAGAATGTTTATGTATAGCTTTTTTTTTTTGGTAACAGCCGAAGGCTACAAACAACACAAATGTCCAACAACTCGGGAATGGGAAAAAAAAAAGGTCACATATACAAATGAAATAATTCTCAATAAAAGAAATAAACTAATGTACATGCAATATGGATGAATCTCAAAAACATTAAGCTAAGTGAAAAAAGCCAGACACAAAAAGTACACATGGCTCGATTGCCTTTATGTGATACTCAAGAGTGAGTAAAAACTATCTCTAGTGATAGGAAGGAGTTAGGTGCCTGGGGCCAGAAAACTTTTTGGGCATGTGGACATTTCGGGGGACGATGGAAATGTTTTCTATCTTGATAGTTGTGGTGGTTCTATGAGTATTTATATTTGTAAAATCTCAC